TTCCCTTTCTCCATCTTCCTATCCCATTATTGTACTGTCCCCATCGACAGTGCCAAAACCTTCTCCATCACCAGCGCCAGCACCCTCCCCACCGCCAGCGCCAGCACCCTCCCCATCGCCAGCGCCAGAACCCTCCTCATCGCCAGCACCAGCACCTTCTCCACCTCCTCCCACTTCAATTCCTAATGCACCCTCCGCCTCTCCCTCCAAAGGAGGAGCAGCTTTTTCAGCGAAGCCATGGCTGGCATTGCTGCTGCTGGCACTGTGGCTGTCCTCGTGTTGCTGCTGTTGCTGAGCTGGCCACTGTGCCAGCAATGCCGCACCAACGAGGTAGCAGGAGGAGGGAACGGCGACGGCAATATTGGAATAGGCTGATAATACTTATCATTGTGTTATCTTATTAGAGAAAGTTACACTTCAGGTTTCAGTTTAGGTTCAACTCATAGGTTTTACCTTTGATTGAACACAAGAGAAACTTGGGTTAGCATTGACACTTGCCGCAGGCAGGCTGGCCTGGTTCAGAAGAGGCCCAGTACAAACAACAATAGATAATTCACCACACATATACAAAGACCTACCACGCACCAACACGCAGAGACAAACAGAAGAAGTACTAAAGAGCATGGGGTGACCTGGGGCATGTAGATATGGAATGTGAGTACCCTCCCATTATCGTGGTGCCAGCGTACCAGGAAGGGGAGGCATAGGAAGAAGGACACAGCAGAGGAGCGGGGTGAATGGATACAGCGTAGGAAAGGCTCGTGAAAGGATACAGTGGAGGAAATGTGGGTGAAACGACAAGGTAGACAAGGTGGGGGCCGGGGGGCTGAGGTCTTGGGGACTGTGACAAGCTAGTCGGCCAACACTAAAGGGCAGTTCTCACCACTAGGGCCAAGGAGGGAGAAGGGGAGGTGCCAAGGAAGAACAGGTTGCGTGCCTGGCAGCAGGGAGGGAGGGTCGCTTCTGCTGCTGCAGGACCATGGGGAGCACCACAGGTGCCAATGAAGCAGCACGAGGGCCGATGGTGAGGACGTGTGAACGTGAACCAAACTCAGTTATTACTTTGAAAAGGTACAATGGAGCAATTTGGCCAAGTGACGGTATGTTGTGTTAATGAGAAGTAATTTACAGACAGGCAGGTGAGCACTTCGAGAACAGGCATTACCACTACTTAAAAGGCCTGTCACCACTGCCGCCTACTCCCCCACCACGCCTCTCCCTCTATCCCTCCCACTCCTACACCCCTACCTCCCTTCCTTCTTCTCCTTCTCTCACCTGCTCCTCCCTCATTCCCATCCATTCCTTGCTCCCGCTCCTTCCCTCTCCCCCCTCTCGCCCTGCCCCCTATCCTCCCTCCCTTTCCACCCTCTCTCCTCCTTCCTGTTGCATTCCCTTCCTCCCTCCCATTCCTCAGCGCCTCCTTTCCACCCCACCCCCTCCACGCCCCTTCCTCTGACTCACTCCCCTCCCACCCCTCCCATTTTGGTTTCAACCCCATGTCCTATCCATCCTCGTGCATTTTCTTTTTCTGTAATTCGTTCACAGCTCCACCATGCACTATCTCAGTATCGCTTTGGATCTCTGCCGCTATGTTTCCTCTCCCAGGCCTCGTATCTCAACTTAGCCTTGCAGCAGCCCAGCTATCATCTCGTTTTCCTTTGATCCTACGATTTTGATAGGCTCATCTCTATACGTTAGTTAGTCATGCCTATGTGATCCATCTCCCCCTCCCTGGCCCTTGTCGCCTCCTGTGACATTCTGTCGTGCCTTTTCTACCGCTTGCCCCTCCCTCTCATGCTTATATTCTTACATGCAACTACGAGAGTTGGGCACATGCCGGGGCAGACCAGGCAGTGACCCCAGGGCTGTTTGACTCAAACAATTACGGAAAGGGCCAACAGCAAAGCAAGCGCATGGTGCAAGGATTACGAGACGATGGCCGAAGGGGTAATGGTCTGATGGAAAGATGGAATATGGGTTACTGGGTTGACAGGAAGATCGTGTGATGATGTGACGGGACGATTGTGTGATGGTGTGATGTGATGGTGAGATCAAGGGACTTGAGTCCTCCATATGAAAATGGTCGATCCAGGAGACTTTGGGGTGGCAATGGCAGGCTAGCAAGCTGACAAATGAGAGCAGACACCTGATAGGTAGGTCCGAGTCAAGGCACTACTGAGCTCTGTGCAGAGTTGAGTGATCATTAATCGATGTGTGGGCGCATAGGCACCAGGGAAAGATGCTACTGGCTGGACTATGCACACCTGGTGGGTGCAGGAACAGCTTGATGGACAAGGGCGGCCAAGGGGAGAGGGAGGGAGAGAGCAGGGAGGTGGGTGCAGGAAAGGCGGATTGGATGCTGGCCGGACTATGCACACCATGGAGGGGCGGATGGCAATGGGGATGAGGATGGAAAGGGAGAAAGGGGTGGGGATGGGAAAGAGTAAGGGAAGGGGAAGGAAAGGCAATGAAGAGTGACTGCTGTACTCAGCACACCTGGTGGCTCTGCCACGATGCTGGAAGACGTGGGGAGGGTGGAGAGTGTATTTGGGAGTATGGAGGAAAAGAGAGCAACCTTAAAGCCCGCGGCCCCAATTGCGGAGCACGCGGGTCAGGATTTTAAAGCTTGACGAAATACTGTTTGCAAGCTTTGAAAAGAAGCGCACCTGCAATTTGGGACTTTTGGGGACTGACCCAACCCCCAGGGCAAAATACGAGGGCAGGCTGAGTTTGGCGAAAAAAAAGAAAAAGAAAAAAACAAAATCGAAATCCCTCGCCAAAACCCAGACCAGAAGAGCCCCCACGCCTCAACCTTTTAAAACTTGTGCAATTTGGGCCAACGGCTTTAACATGCAAGTGTATGGATTTCATTGCTCCTGATTTGTAGCTCGTGCAGCTGAGAGAATTGGGGCCATGGGGGGGAGGACAGGCAATGAACTGCCTGAAGTTGTTGAACAGAGCCATTGTGGTGCAGATCACATCCAGTGAAAGGGCATGGCGAGAGTGTGATGAGACGATGGGGCGATGGGGTATGAGTTGATGGGGTGAAGGGGAGATGGGATAATGGAATCATAGGGTGATGGACAATGAGATCCTGGGGTGATGTGATCATGGGATAATGTAATCATGTGGTGATGTTCATGGGACAATGAGATCATGGGGATATGTAATCATGGGGTTATGTAATCATGAAATTATGTGATTGTATCATCACGCGATCTAGGGGTGATGTGACTATTAGATAATGAGATCATGGGGTAATAAGATCGTATGGTTATGTGATCTGATCATGGCCCGTTATGAGATCATGAGGTTATGAGATCATAAGGTAATGTAATCATGAGGTTATGTGATCATGGGGTTGTTGATAGACAAGTTAGGTAGGGAAGGACTTAGGAGTAGAAGTTACATTATTTCAAGTGAGCTTGCAGGATATACATTCAAGACAGAGATGAAGCAGAGGCCAGATCTATATGGAACAGCCGAGCCATCTGGCCTGGTGGGGCTATTGGACCAAGGACCCAACTGGCCTAGTGGGGTGAGTTGGACCAAGGACCCAACTGGTCTAGTGGGGTGATTGGGACTGCAGCCAACTGTGGGAAGCTAGACACCACCCACCACAAGTGTGTGTCCAACTCTGTACAGTTGGCTGTCCTTGACAATGGTCAACCAGCACACTAAAGTTGGTCCTGTGTTCTACATCTAGAATTGGGTTTACCCCAATTTCGGTGTTTACCCAGTCTACACCAAGCAACAGAACTTGCAGGTATATCTATGTAATTAAACAGAGTGCAGTGGTGGCAGTGATCGGATTGTGGTCAGTCAGCCCATGGGTCGATAAGTCAGCGATGGGTCGGTTAGTGGGTCGATGAGTCAGCAATGGGCTTCATGGAGTATCTGTGCTCGGTGCAAGTCATATTTTTTTCACCCAAGAATTTCTCTAATGTTCACCCAAGTTATTTTTTATTTCTAAGGGCCTTTGGGCCTTATCGCCACTGGATTATGGTTTTGTTTTCCCCTGTCTCTCTCCATACCCCCTTATACTCACGTTTTTGTTGCCAGGTTTCATTTCCCCCAGAAGGCTCTTCCCCTACCGCATCTGACATGTCATTGCTATGAAAGGGCTATGAAGAAATTAAACCCCTTTTGCCCATGTGTAGCAGATGACAAGGCACTGAACAGAAGTGGATATTGTCCGGATCAGGCCCCTAGATTGCTCATAGGGTTGGCTGATCCATTGATTAAGCTGGGAGTTCAGCTTTCCCCACCCAAAAGACTTTGAAATTTCAGTGTTTACTGTAATATTTAAGCTGATAATTGAGCCTATGTACATAATTTAATGCTGTGTTTTTAATGTATAGGAAATCACAAGTTACATGTTTGACTTAAACTTGAAGTGTTGAATTCATGAAGTGACTTGCCAGTATTGCCGGGTCATGCGCAAAACCTGAGGTAACTGGCTGTGATCGACAATTGAGTGGTGGAGAGGTTGGAGGGGAGGTGAGTGGCACAGCTGGAGCCAGTTCGCGTGCAGGGGGCTCGGAGTCTGGTAGCGCTACCAGGCCCACTACCAGAGGGCTACGGTATATCATATTATCATATAGTGCAGCCTTTTATGGTAGGTTGAGAGTTTAGTGCTTTACGAGCCCGATGTTCGTTGCTGCTACAAAAAAGGCTCATAATTTCCATCCTGAAATCCCATATTGATCATGACTGAAGCTATTCTACAATGTAGCATATATCATGCATGCAACAGGTGAGACATTTACAAAATGTGATAAGCAAGAAACATGTACCCATAGACAAGCCAAAGCTTTAGTCGTTGCTTTTGGTGTGATTAACCCAATTTTATTGTTCCATCTACCTGATCACCAAAGATGCTACCAGTATCCTTTACTAAACGTCTTTCAACAAGCCATATTGCCTCATACCAATGGCACAAATGATTGTTACCAGAAGCTCTATGTAAACCAGTAAGGATCAAGTGAAAACGAACTTGATTATGTGGAAGAGCTGCTTGGCATGCCCTCGCGCTCCGCACGGGCCATTTCAGCAGTGAAGCTGGAGGAGCCAATGGAATATCCAAGCTCCATGTCGATGCGAGATTTGGCCTCGCCCACATGGCTCTCATGTGCTCCGGACGCCTCCCGCTTCAACTTCACCAGCTCTCCCAGCACTTGATTCATGGAGGGGCGGGAGGCCGCAGGCATGGCTGTGCAGGAGAGGGCAAGGCGAGCCCAGCGCAGCACCAAGTCATCTGGTGCATCCAAGTACGGGTCCTTGAAGAGTGCCACGGCATCTGACTCGACAAATGGGGCGATCTGTTGGGTTGAAAGAGAACACAACCATGTGGACGAATACGCGTGATGTATTTCTGATATGAATGCTCCCGAGTGGAGGATTGAGCATTGGTCATGCATTAGTCATGAAGAACTCAGGTAGTAAGTCTGTACCAAGCAGTTATAGCTTACCCATTGCTTCAGACTGATCTGGCTGGTCTCGCTCGCATGCACGGCCTTGCGTGCCGAGATGACTACCAGCATCACCACACCAAAGCTGTTAACACCAAGCCAGCAAAAAGGTGCAAGGACCAGAATGGAGATTAATGTGAGGCATGTCAATGGAACATTCTATGCCAGGCCTGCATCACAAATGGAAATATTCATCTGCTACTGGTGTGGCCTTGTGGGACTTGTATAAGGCGGGGTCAAGATAGACCGGTGCTCACATCACTCGAGTAAGATATTATCCCACTCTACTAAAAAATATATATATTTGCCCTCTCACCTGTACACGTCTGCTGGTGGAGTGGCCTTGTGGGACTTGTAGTAGGCAGGATCCACATAACCCGGTGTCCCCATCACTCGAGTGGCAGCCACAGATGTGCCCATAGCGGTGCCTCCGGTGAGTTTCACCAGCCCGAAGTCTGCAATCTTGGCCTGAACAACATTTTCAATTGCATGTAGGTAAAATTTAGATATTGAATAGCACCAATTGCTTCCAACATGTGAAGGCATGCAAGTCAAAAGAAAACAGAATGTTAAGTTAGTGGTTGGTCAAACAGAATGCAGGCAGAAAGTAAAGTTAGACGTACATGCATTTTTGCATCAAGCAAAACGTTGGCTGGCTTGATGTCGCGATGCACAATGCCGAAGTCATGAAGATAATGCAATCCCTTGGCCACTCCAATCAGAACATCCAGTCGTTGCAATAGGGAGAGATGGCTTGGAGCTCCTAAGAAAGGGGAATTTGAAGAAATGGTTCCAAATCAAATGTTAGTTGGAAAATAGGTGGAGCCTGTTCTTAAGAAATAGACTGTTCTGATCAAAGAGTTTGGAAGGCACGACAGAAGGTTTGCGGCAGGTGCAGGACACATGAAACAATCTAACATTCCAAATTTCTGAGCTCGCATCACACACAGAAATTTCTCCAAGAGAATGGCTATCGAAGAGTGTGATAAGACATCCATCACAAAGATAATGATGTTTTATTACCTGGTCCAATCCAGCTCTCCAAGTCGCGATTCGCCATGAACTCATACACGAGCACCTGCTCAATCTGGCCTGTGCTGGAATCGAAGTTTAAACAGAAGCCCAACAGGCGCACCAGGTTGGGGTGGTGCTTGCTGGCCATCTCCTTCACCTACGAGACAAGAGGGGAAAATAAGAAATGGAACGAGCAAGAGAAAAAGGGAGTGCATGTGCCTTTGCAAGTCTGTGTTTTTTTGAGAGTGTATTGACATAGATGAGTAACTATTTGATTCCTAATGGGATGCTGAAATCAGCACTATGGAAGTGTGGTACCTCAGTGAGGAAGTCATTGGAGAGGACCCTAGATCGCTTCACAGCCCACATCTCATTGGGGTCATGCAGCGACACGCCCTTGTACACATCTCCAAAGCTGCCGCTGCCAATCCTGTTCCCCTCTGCCCAGTCTCCCGTTGCGCTTGCGAGCTCTTCCAGAGTGAACTTCTGGCACACATGTGGCTTCACTGCCTCCATCTCCACCACCATGTCTCTCTCCTTCACCCATTCCGCTGCTCCTGCAGCCACAGCCGCAGCTGCTGCAGCAGCTGCTTCTCCTTCTGGGTCCCTATTCTCTGCCTTGGATGCTGCGTTGGGATGATCAGGTTTCAAGTCTGTCAGAGGTGGTGAAGGAGACAAGAGGAAGATGAGGAATTAAATGTGGACGGAAACTTAGGGTTTGGGAGGAGGCTATATTTCGAACAGCGTAGACCGAAAAGGTCCTACCTTGGAGTGCACTTTCTTCAGCCAAATCTTTGCCGTCCACATCTGTGCCTCCTGTTGACCCTCTGGTGTGGTATCGTTTGCACATTAGCCAGATAAGCAGCAGCAGCACTAGGAAAGCCACAGCCCCGGCAGCAGCAATGCCAGCAACGGCTCCACTGGATAAACCGCCTTTAGACTGGGTAGCGGTTGCTGCAGGCTTACTAGGAGTTGGCGAGGGAGGAGGTGGGGAGGTTGTGGGCACTGGCGATGGGGAGGGTTCTAGCACTGGTGATGGGACGTACATATAAAGAATAGGAAGATGGATATAGTGAACGGAAAAGGCTATCACACGTGGGAATAACGGTGCGCTTGATGAAAAGGGATGTGGGAGAAAAAGCAAACAAAGACTCTGAAAGGTCGAGAAAAAAAAAGAATCAGCAAAAGCCATGAGGTATTATTTCGTATTCTTCGGTATAAGTTGTGGATGCGTGACACTGCAGAAGTTTGTTTTGTAGATGGCAGTGTAGTATTCATGCACTCAGCACAAATGAGAGCGTTGTCAGAAAGGCAATATTACTTGCAGCGACCCGCATAAAGTGATTGCATTTCACCTGGTTGTGGCTTGTCACAGGTGGTGCAAAAAGAGCTACACTGCTGGCAGAAAGCACTTGAAATGGTCTGTTTGACCACACAGCTGCTGTATTCAGGAGGGCATGCAATTGCCGTAAAATATGTGTCCCTGCATGTGCACATGGGGTGTTCTCAAACTAAGAACCAAAAACCAGTTTCAGCTCTGAATGAAACTCTTTGAGATTTCTAAAAGGAAGGGTTGGTGAGACATTACAATGCTATACTATGCCAAGATGTTTTATTCGTAGAAAAACCCAGTAAACCATATATTGGTTTCCATGCAGTTAGGCAATAGGGAATGGCTTAACGTGGTCTGGACCCAACATCAGTTGTTGTGCCGAAACAGATTGAGTCGGGATAGTCATCACGACCTTTGGTACCTTGTATACCTCCTACTTATGGCTGTAACAGTACTAGCTCAGGTACACGAGCGAAACAGATTGGCTCCTTTGTATAGCTCCTCCTCGTGATACGCTTTAAGTGTTAGAGACTAACGACGGAGTCTATGAAGATTAGGTGCCTAAATTTCTCAAAATCGTTGGTCTCTATTTCTGGACAGAATAGTCACGCTCACGAAAAACACGGTCGACGAAAAGTTCACGGTCAAAACTTCACCAAACTCAGATATGATATAGCCCTAGTCCGTGGCTACAATTCCCAATTTGAATCGTATCAAGAGGTGAAAAAAATCTCGACTTATCAATATCGGCGCACAAGGGGGTATGCTGCCATAAGAACTTAACTCAATCACAAGAGTCTCACACAAGTTCACAATAACTACACAAGAGAGTTAGAGTAGCACTAAACCACGTGGAAGGGATGAGAAGGATGAGAGGGAAGGTTCCAAGAGATTCCCCAACCAACGAAACCCTATGCCACACAATTCCCTTCCCCATACGCAACCCAACTTTGACCTTTGTCACGATCCCAACCTCCACAGTCCACCTCAACCCAACTTGGCCACAGTTACCAACCTGGTTTGGTTTCTCCCAACCATTTGGCAGCAACTTCAGTAGAAAAGACGAATTTCCCAACCCCCAAAAGTCTGTACCCAATATTGAGTCAACCCCACAACTTCCCACTAGGCATGGGCATTTGACCCGGACGGGTCGGGTAACCCGACCCGACCCGGCCTTTTGGCCGGGTCGGGTCTGGTGTTCTGAGTATCCCGACCCGGGCGGGTCGGGTCGGGCCTACCCGTACGGGTCGGGTTGACCCGTGACCCGTCAGGGTATCTTTTTCACGGGTACCCTTGACCTGTCGGGTCGGGTCGACCCGTGACCCGAAATCGGGTTAAGATACGGAAATCGTAGGATAGACTGCAATAGCGGTGCACGAATGGCTCTGCATCGGGCTGGCAAACAAGACGCATGATAGCTATAGTGTAGGAGGAGGCGTAGGAGAGATCATGGATAGGGAAACCTAGGTCGAAGTTGAAATTTGTACTCCACAGTTGCCAAATTTGTGCACAATACTGTCTCCAACCAATTTCCCCTCCCATCACCTATCTTAACCGCATTGCATCTAGATCATCCAACCGATTTGAGATTTGAAAGCTGGACAGTCGTCACTTCCAGATCTACAACAAAGTTCATCAAGGGAGTCTCCCCCCCCTCCCCTTCTGCGGGAAATAGATCCGCGCGTAGATCCACGATTCCGCGCGTAGGGGGGGGAGGAATTCCAATCCGTGCGGATCTGTGGGGAGAATCGCCGATCCGCGCGGTTCGTCGGAGGAAATCGTCGATCAGCGCGTATGACGAGTTTTTCTTGGGTATAATTACCCGACCCGACCTGACCCGAGGGTACACTACCCGAGGGCGGGTCACAGAGACCCGTGCCCACTATGGCGGGTCGGGTACCCTAAATTTGGCTTATCTTGACCCGCCGACCCGACCCGACCTGACCCGAACCCGTCACGGGTCGGCCTAGACGGGACGGGTCGGGTCAAATGCCCATGTCTACTTCCCACAGTTGCTACAATCAAATATGAAAAACATACGAACTCCAACGTTCGTAAATTTCTTGTTCGTGCTCCGATTGAAGTGATACTTGTTTCGTCGGAAAGACCAAACTGCACAAACCTTGAATTCTTGTACACGCTCACACCACGCATGCAGCGCACGAACACATGATGGGAGGCAAACAGACGTGAATGCATATGATTGCATCACACAACAAACTCCCCCTCTGACTGCCAACCATCATCGCACATGCTATAGCTCAAGCAAGCACCCTCAATGCACACTCATCCCAGCAAGCTTCATGCCCTTCCAATGCTCAAATTCAGCCAGGCGCTTGGTGAGAATGTTAGCCGCCTGCTGATGGGTCTTCACAATCTCCAGCCGCACCTCCTTGTCCAAGAGCCTCCTCACCCAGTGCCACTTAGGCCTGATGTGTTTGGTCAGCCCATGAAGACAAGCATTCTTCGCTAGTTTCACCGCCGACTCATTGTCACAGAAAATCACAGTTGGCTCCTTCTGGAACACTCCGATCTCCCCCAACAAACGCCTCAGCCACACCACTTCCTTTGCCCCATGATGCAGGGCCATGTACTCTATCTCACACGAGGACTCCCCTACCTCGTTCTGCTTCTTGCTGCGCCAGCTCACTGCACCACCTCCAAACAGGCACACATAGCATCCAAGGCTTGTGCCATCCGTCTTCACAGAGTTGAAGCTGGCGTCGGTGTAGCTGGTTAGGAGCATCTCCCCCTTGCCCAAATCAGCTGCACCCCTCTGCAGCCTCTGTAGTACTGTACTCCAAGCCCACTGATGCCGTAGTGCTCACATAGCGGACCAACCTCTTGGCCGCTTCCAGCTGCTCATGACTGGGGCGTGAAACCACACTTGCAAGCATGGATGTAGCAAAGGCAATGTCAGGCCACGTGTGGTTAGCCGCATAATTGAGTGCCCCCACCATGGAATGAAACAGCTTCTTGTTGTTGGTGTTAGGCCCCAATCTCACATTTTGTACTTGTACTTTTATATCCTAGTTTAGTGTAGTTTGCACTTTGTGTTTGGTTGGGTGTACACCCACATCCCAACCAAACCCAAATGTAATCTCCAAGCAATCTCCAACCCACCAATTGGAGATTGCCTTGGGATTACCCTTGATTCCCTAGGATTGCCTCCTGATTCCCTCCTCATCCCTACCTTGCTCATTCCGGATGTACTTAAAGAGGTTTGAGCTCACTACTATAGTATCGATTCTAAGCTCAAGTTCTGACATGGTATCAGAGCAGCTCAACCGCATACGCGGATCGTGATCCTCTCATCTCTGCGGATACTTGTCCCGCAAACCTTGGGGAAGCCATCGCCAATCTCGTCGCCGTTGATTCGCGACATTCATCGGCGGAATTTCTCCCGCCACATCTTCGCGTCACCATCGACGGAAACTTCTCTGGTAAGCGCATTGTCGGCGCTCTAACCTAACACTTGTTTTCATCAATTCGTCACTCTCGTCACTTCTCCTCGTCGGGCCGCCGCCCGTCGCCCTGCAGCTTCTCGTCGGGCCGCCGCTCGTCGCCCTGCAGCTTCTCTTCGGGCTGCCGCCCGTCGCCCTGCAGCTTCTCGTCGGGCCGCCGCCCGTCGCCCCGCAGCGTCATCTTTGGGCTGCCGCCCGTCGCCCCGCATCTGCACTCCTACCCCCATCCCCCCTCTTTCCCGCAGCTGAATAGGTGCAGCAACGCAGCCGAGCAGCAGCGTAGCCGCGAAGCCGAGCAGCCGTGTAGCCGCGAAGCCGAGCAGCAGCGTAGCCGCGAAGCTGAGGGTGGTG